CTCTGGACCGTCAAGCAGCGGCTCAGGATTAGAAGCGGGTCCTGGGGAAGGGGTCGAGACCTCCTCGAGTGCGGGATCGACTACGGAATTGATTCACCCCAGAATTTGATTTTCTCGTCGACCCCATGAGAGAATACCTAGGCTAGTCAAGAGGTCCACGCAGCATTGTAGGTATACAAATCTATATGTATATGTATGTATATATATATATATAGATGTATTAGATCCGGCGGGAAATTAATCTTGGGGAGAATCGACTCTGTGGTCGATCCTCCTCTACTCGACCTCTTGGGGTCGACGCTACGAGCTCATCATGGCGTCGGGGGCCTGGCTCCCGCGTCCTCCGCCGCCGCGACCTGTCGGCCGCGCCCTCCTCCCGCGGCTCCCCGCCTTCCCCGAGATCCCTTGGTGCGGTCGAGATTCGAGTAGAGGATCGAGGTGAAACAGACAAGGCACGGATATGCTTAGAGATTCCGCTGCTGCTTAGGAGAGCACTCTCCCAACAAAGTGTGGCCCTTGTCCCCTGTGGCGATCGCATTGCGGATGCAAGTAGTGGCGCTGCTGGACGTGATGTCTCATCGATTGTCATCCCGGGCACGCTACCACCGGTCCGCTATCATACATCAGGGGGAAAAAAGATTCGAGTAGAGGGTCGACTGCAGAGTCGATTCACCCCCAAACCAATTCCCGTCGAATCTGCGAAATATACTTACAATTCTGCGTAGACCTCTTGACTAGTCTACGCACTTTCTCATGGGGTCGACGGGAAAATCAATTTCGGGGTAAGTCAATTCTGTAGCCGATCCCGTACTCGAGAGATGGGTACTGCAAGCATGGGTTCGAAGACCGACAGCTTATGCTGTCCGCTTTGGTCCAGGTGCGCTGTCGGTGTCGCCGCGGACGTGGTCCACTTGAGACAGAAGGTCGCCTGCCCAACAGCGGCCGCTGTCGGTTTTAGGCAACTGTTGATGTGGGGCGTCGTGCCCATATTTGTGTACACATCTCGGGCGTGCCAAATTATGGTGTCTCGGCGAAATGATTTTGTTTAATATTCGACGCTGGTGTGCAGTTCGCAGTGTGCTGATAGCACGGCAATCTCTGGGGTCTCTGAGGCAAATGGCTGTGGATGTGGGGAAGCGATGCTGCAATCCCGCCCATCCCGCCTGCGCTAAATTGCGTACGCAAGCATCCTGCCACTATCTGAATTCAGAACGATATTCCAATGATGTTCAAGAACAGAGTCTGGCGCCCGATGTTTTCGAGCCAGGCGTTGTTTCGTGTTTCGGGCCGCAGGGCCCTGACATATCGATCTGGCTCGAAATATGGTGCGGGAAGATGGGGTCCGTGGCTTCGGTTTTGACTTTTCACCATGTCGCACTTTTTCCCCGACGTCGGATCTCAGGGTTCCGTCTCTTCCCTCTTCTTCCTCCACGCAAGTTGTCCGAGATGCGCCATATACAAATTCGGCTATATCATGAACAGCTGTTGAAACAAAATCCTCCACGTTGGTTGGACTTGCGGGTGATTGGGAGAAGGAGATGAACTGAACACTGCGGCCAGCAGAGACAGACCAAGCCAGCATGAGAGTGCATGGATGAGGCCCGAACCTCAGAAAAAGGGACGGGTGATATCCCAGAGCACTCTCACGCTAACGTGTCGTAGCTTACACGCGGCGCAAGTCCAAAGCCAAGGCGGGTTCTAGCGCCTTTGCTGACTCGTACTTGTAAGACGGGTATTTACATTCACCACGCGCTACCAAGCGGCCTTGTGGGATTCACGAGGCACTGCTCGGGAAAAGGGCATTTTTTCTTTCAGGGCCAATTTTCAAGATCAATTTTTTCTCGAGTCCAACATGATTCTTTCCAGGACCCGCCGTTTGGGACATCCTTTCAAACTCCCATTGAAGGACTGGTTGGTTGGTGTGGGTTGGTTGGCTGATTAGATCGCGGATTGCCGGGCCATTTTTCGTTTTGAAGGTTAGTTTTTTCCGGGTCAAGAGAATTCTATGCGGGACCCGCCGTGTGGGCCGTTCTGCTCAAATCTTTTGGGAAGGGTTGGTCGGTTCGTGGGTCGGTTGGCTGGTTGGCTCACCAGATTCTGGGTCAACCATTTTCTTCTTGGGGTGGTTGGTTGGCTGGTTGGTTGGTTGGTAGGTAGGTAGGTAGGTAGGTAGGTTGGTTGGGCGGCAGTTGGTTGGTGGGTTGGTTTGTGGATTGGTTGTTGATTGCTTGAGCAGTTGGTTGGTCGGTTGGTCGGTTGGTTGATTGGTGGGTTTGTTGGCTGGTTGGCTCACTGATGTCCGGGTCAATTTGTTTTTCCGAGGCGATGGGGTGGTTGGTTGGTTGGCTGGTTGGCTGGTTAGTTGGATGGCCGGATGGTTCGTTGGTTGGCCGGTTAGTTGGCCGGTGAGACATCGTCAGCTAGTCTTGATAGACTTTGAGCCGTAGTCCAAGTCCAAGTCCAAGAGGAGGATGAGGAATGTCAATGTTGACTTAAGCCAGTTTTGCTCAAGCCGTTTTGACTCAAGCTGCTGTGGTGGATGCTGGACATCAGTCGAGGGTCTCGAGAAGGCACGCTTTCTCTTGAATTGTCGATCAAGAAGTGTGGCTCGACAAAGCAATGGTGCACAGCACTGCAGTTGCTTCGCGAAGGGATTCGGTCAGGAGTGCAACTCTTCCCAGGCCACTACCTTGCGACTGTCAGCGCATGCGGAAAAGGCGGGCAGTGGCAACGTGCACTGTCGGTGCTCACTGCGATGTGGCAGTCGAAGCTTGCTCCCGATGTCGTCGGCTACAGCGTTGGGGTCAGCGCATGCGCAAAGGGCTGGCAGTGGCAGGCGGCGTTGTTGCTGCTGCGCGAGATGCGGGAGTCGAATTTGGAGTCCGACATCATCTGCACCAATCAGAAATCTTAAGAACAAACCGGCGTCACACCAACATACTTCTACTATATGTGCGTCGCCCCCCCCCCCCCCCAGAGGCGACGCGCGCACCGAGGAATCTTATAGTATATGCGTCGCGGCGGGCGCTTTTCGGCCACACCGCTCGGGAAGCGATATACTACAAGATGGGTGTACCATATGTTCGGGTCGGACGCCTGCCTGCAAGGAGGATATCTAGTATTAGTATGTCGCTGTGCGTCCTGTCATCTGCACCGATCGGAAATCTTAGGAAACAACGTCAACGTTCAAGACTCCAGGAGGGTAAAAAACACACAGACACAAATCATCGTCGATGCCCCCCAAATATGTGGGAAACTATGGGAGGTGGGGGGAAGACACGAACCCAGAAAACATGGGGGAATATGGGGCATCCTGTTATATCTGTGTGTGTGTGTGTTTATTTGTGTATTCCCCCCAAATGTGGAAAATATGGGAAGTGGGGGGGAAGACACAAACCCAGAAAACATGGGGGAATAGGGGGAATCCTGTTATATCTGTGTGTGTGTTTATTTGTGTGTCCCAGGGCCCCTTCAAAGACTTTCTGGGCCCAGACCCCGGGCCGTTCTCTCTCTTTCGGCGGTGTCTGTGGCTCGCCTTGACCTTCGCAGACTGTGCCCTGGGCTGCTGTTTCGGAAGCCGCTTCGAGGGAAGGCCAATTTCTCAGCTCCGCATCGTCTTAGCTCCAAGCAGGGGTGCATACTTCGACGGCGAGCGAGGGGGAGGGGAAAATGAGAAGGAGAAGGCGTTCTCAGAAGGCGGCGGGACTTCTCAGAAGCCTCCACGCCTTCAGGGCCTGTCTGTGTCTTCGGGGAACGCCGAGAAAACTTTTCAGAAGGCCGGGGAACTTCTGAGCCCTCTGCAAAGGTCTTCTCCTTCTCACTTCCCCTCCGGGCTCGCCGCCGACCAGCGCTCCGGGGGCGGTCCTGCACGGCCCTGGACGGTCGCTAGAGGGCTCCAAGACGTCCAACGACAGCTCAGAGACGCTCAAGAGAGCGCCCCGATGGTCCCAGAGAGCCCGCAGCGAGCGCTTCACCATGGCCCACCGGCTACAAGACAAGCCAGGAGGCCTCCCAAGACGGCCCAAGAGGACCCCGATGGCGGCCCCACGAGGCCCAAATCGTAGACCTCCATAGTTTCGAACGGATTTTCACCAGAAACTGGAACATACACATTACCAGTTGCGGGCTGTTATTCGATTCCAGGACTTTTTGCGGGTCGGGGACGACGTCGGGGTTGCGTGGCGTATTTTTTTTTTACCCGTCCCCAGGAAACAACAAAACATGTATACACCAGGATCCCGGATCCGCTTTCCTGACACCAGGACCCGCGTTCCTGTGCGAGTTTCCGTGCGGTGCCAGAAAAAAGCGTTGGCGTATAGAGTTTTCGGCTCCTTACATGTTCGCCCAGCGAGAGGCTCCAGACGGCTCCCAGCGCCGCCTAGGTCGCCCCTCTCATTGCCCCTCAGGCTCCCAAGAGAGGCCCCAGAGGGCCCAACAGGGCTCCAAGAGGGCCCTGGAGGGCCCGAAGGCGGCCCCAAGGAGCCCCCATATGCCCTCCAAGACGGCTGCAAGAGAGTCCCCACAGCCGTTGAGAGCGCCAAGGACGCCCGAGGAAGCCCAAGGCGATTCCGCAGTAAGCTTCCGGGGCCGTCCTCCAAGAGGGGCTCTGGCGGACAGCCCGGGAACGGCCCCAGAGGCGCCCCAAATGCCGCGAGAGGTCTTCCGGGGGCCCCAGACAGCCTCGCAGAAGGACCCGGGGTGCCCCCGACACGGCTCAGGACCCGAGGGACCCCCAGAAGGCCCCGAGGCTGGCCTCCGAGGCCCCTCACAGGCCCCCTGGGCGGCCCCGAGTGTCGGGGAGGTGATGCGGGGGCCGCGTGTGGACCGGAGCGTGCGCCCCGGCAGAAGCGTTGTGCCGGGGTGCTGGTGCCCGGTCGAAGCTCTCGGTCGGCCGACGTGGATGCTCTCTCGATCTCCAAGCTGCCGATCCTGCAGGCAGGGAGGAGCGTTTCGCGAGGCGTCAAAGGGCAGCAGCGCAGCTCGCCACGGCAGGAGCTCCCCGCATCCCCCTCCTCCGCGGAGTCGCTGCCGCGGCACGCTCGGGCGCTCCTGCACTGTGCTGCCCCCCGTCCTCTCCACGAGCTCCACGAGCTGTTCGGCTTCGACGCCCTGTTCTGTAGATTCCGCCTACGGTCTGCGAGTCCCAGGTTCAGCAAACCGTGGGTTTGATCCACGGATTCGCACTGGTCACTTACAGCGCTGGGATCAGCGCGTGTGAGAAGGGCGAGCAGTGGCAGCGGGCGCTGGCGCTGCTGATCGAGATGTGGAATGTGAAGCTGGAGCCCGACGTCATCTGCTACAACGCTGGGATCAGCGCGTGCGCGAAGGGCGAGCAGTGGCAGCGGGCGCTGGCGCTGCTGAACGAGATGTGGAATGTGAAGCTGGAGCCCGACGTCATCGGCTACAATTCTGGTATCAGCGCGTGCGAGAAGGGCGAACAGTGGCAGCGGGCGCTGGCGCTGTTGAGCGAGATGTGGGAGGTGAGATTGGAGCCCGACGTCATCAGCTGCAATGCTGGGGTCAGCGCGTGCGAGAAGGGCGAGCAGTGGCAGCGGGCGCTGGCGCTGTTGAGCGAGATGTGGGAGGTGAGGTTGGAGCCCGACGTCATCTGCACTACAATTCTGGTCGTTGCGCGTGCGAAAAGGCCTTGTAGTGAAGAAGCTGCCCCCGAGCGCCCGAAGCGCCCCGGCGCTCTCCGACGGCTCCAGAGAGCCCCTCGGTGGCCCTAAGACGGCCTCTGACAGCCCCAAGGCAGCTCTGAGACGCTCCAGAGCGCGCGAGGACGGCCCAAGCGGAGGCGAACAGAGCCCCATGTCAGCCCAAGACGGCCCGACGACGGGCCAGGGGCCTCGGAAAACGGCCGAAGTGGACCACGATGACGGTCCCCCGAGGTCAAAAACACACACGCACACACTTTTTCGTCAGCGGCGAGGCGGCGAACTCTGCTCGAGCGAGAAGCTAGATAGGGGCACTAACTAGCGAATTGGCCGGCGGGCAAAGAGAGGGGAGGACGGCCGAGAGGAAGAAGGAACGCGCAGACGCCGAAGAATTCGACGCTGAGCAGCCGGGGGGGGCAGCAGCATCACACATACACACACACACACACACGCATTTTTTTGTTTGTTGTTCTTTTTGTTTTAAAATAGGTTTTCCATGGTCTCGTCATTTCAGGCCGAGAGAACGGCCCCAGACGGCTCCAGGGCCATCCCAGATCGCTCCGAGACGGTCCAGGAGGCCCTGCCGGGTGCCCCAAGACTGCCCCAGAGGGCCCGAAGAGTGCCAGGGAGAAGCCCAAGACAGCCTGATAGAGCCCTGGTGGCCCCCAGGACAGCCCCAAGAGGGCCCTAGGAGCTGCCCAACAGGCATCAAAGCGAGCTCGAAGACGGCTCGAGACCTCCTACATGGCCCCAGGACAGCCCAAGACGCCCCCGAGACGGCTCAAGAAGGCTCTGAAATGGACCCAAAGGGCCCCCAGAGGCTCTGGAGAGACCCTCACGGGGCTCGAAGAGGGCCGAAGGGAGCCCAGACGACGTCCTTCTCGCAGCCCCCAAAGGGCCAAGAATCCTCCAAGGACCACTCCCACATGCCCCATAGACACCCAAGAAATTCCGATGGTTCCCAAGGAGGAGCTCCCAAGGAGAGTGCTTCGAACCACGGCACTCTTTCGCCGTCTCTCGAATCCTCAACGCACACCCCCAAGGCAGGCCCCAGACCACTCCGAGATGCCCCAGAGCCTCCCGAGAGACTTCCACAGTCCCTACAGAACTCCCAGGAGCGGTCCCAGGGCCACTCCGAGATGTCCCAGAATCGCTGATATTCCGACGCTTGCCAAAAGACTCCGACAGTTCCTACGGAACTCCCAAGAGCGGCCCCAGGAAGAGACCCCCCAAACGAGGGGGGGGCGTTGGTCAAGGAATGTGCCCAGGAGGCTTCAGACCCTGAAGGATTCCTTACCTGATGAGGGCGGCGGTGATATCCATGGCCAATCCACTGTCAGAGTTCAGCCGGCTTCCAGACTCTAGGTTCCTTATGCAATGGTTCCCTGTCCGATGCCCTCACCGTAGCTCCCACAGAGCTCCCGAGAGCGATCCCAGGACCACTCCGAGATGGCCCAGAGTCGCCCTCGAGACCCCCCCCCCACGGCCGATCAGGGGTGACGTGTGCGGAGGAGGAGGAGGAGGAGGAGGGGGAGGAGGAGGAGGAGGAGGAGGGGGAGGAGGAGGAGGATGAGGAGGAGGAGGAGGAGGAGGAGGAGGAGGTTCTCGAGGCCGGGGGATTGTGGAGCACCTTGTCGTTTTCATAATTTTTTTGTTTTATTTATTTATTTATTATTATTGTTATTATTTTTTATATATCTATATATATAAACACATGCACAATCGAGTGACACGCTCTTTCACCCTTGAATATTTGATTGTTTTTTTGTCATTTTTCTTTTCGCCACGATCCCCTCATACTAATCGTTTCTCGTTACATCGTTCTCTAGTGTTCTCTCTCTCTCTCTCGTTGTCTCTCTCTCTCGCTCTCTTTGTCTATCTCTTGCACCAGGCCAATGCATGCCGATGCGGTACAAATCCATTCCCAACCAACACCAATGCCAATGCAATGCCAATGGGGGAATCCTTTCGTTCGGTAGATTTCAAGAATAATACTTTGTGGATGATGTCATTACGAATCCTTCTTCGGAGGATTTCAATTGCAATGCTTCTGTGTAGGGTTTCGATAGGGATCCTCATGTGAATGGTTTCGCTAGGAATCCTTCATGTAGGAGGATTCAGTCGGAATCGTTCCTGTGGAGTGTTTGGGTAGGAGTCCGTCTGCGGAGGGAGCGATTAGGACTCGCCAGCGCAATGCCAAAGCTTCGCCATCGCAATGCCAAACCAATGCCAAGGCGATCCCAATTCAATGCCAATGCAATGCCAATGGGGGGTATCTTTTGTTGTAGATTCCAAAAGGAGTCCTACCTGTGGAGGGTTTCGATTGGAATCCTTCCGTGGGGGGTTCCAGTCTGAATCTTTTATGTGGGGGGCTTTCAAAAGGATCCCTTCTTGTGGAAGGTAAGGAATCCTTCTGTGGTGGGAGCCACTCGAACTCGCCAGCGCAATGCCGAAGCGGTGCCAATGCAATGCCAAACCAATGCCGATGCAATGCCAATGGGGGGAATTGTTTGTGGTAGATTTCAATAGCAATCCTTCTAAGAACCTTTCTTCGGGGGATTTCAATAGGAAACCTTCTATGGAGGGCTTCGCATGGAACCCTCCAGTTGAGGATTTCAATTTGAATCCTTCGTGTGGGGGGGATTCAATAGGCATCCTTTTTGTGTGTGGGGGTGTTCAATAGGAACCCTTCTGTGAATTGTTTGAGTAGGACTCACCAGCGCAATGTCAACGCAATGCCAACGCACTGCTAAAGCACTGCCATTGCAATGCCAACGCAATGCCAAAGCGATGCCAAACCGTTGCCAAACCAATGCCAATGCAATACCGATGGCGGGATATCCGTCTTCCAACAGATTTCATTAGGAATTGTTATGTGAATGATTTTGTTACGAATCCTTCTTCGGAGGATTTCGATAGGAATCCTCCCGTGGAGGGTTTCGATTGGGATCTTTCTGTGTGGGGGGTTTCACTTTGAATCCTCCATGTGGGGGCTTTCAAAAGGATCCCTTCTTGTGCAAGGTTTTCATAGGAATCCTTCAGTGGGGGGAGCCATTAGAACTCGCCAGCGCAATGCCAACGCAATACCAACGCAATGCTAAACGAATGGCAAAGCGATCCCGATCCAATGCCAATGCAATGCCAATGGGGGAAATCGTTTGTGGTCGGGTTCAAGAAGAATCCTTCTATGGAGGGCTTCGAATGGAATCTTTACGTGAGGGAGTTTACTGTGAACCCTTCTTGTGGGATATTTCAATCGGAATCCTTCTTGTGGGGGGTTCAACAGGAATCATTCTGCGAAGGGATGTGTTGGAACTCGCCAGCGCAATGCCAGCGCAATGCCAACGCAGTGCCAACGCAATGCCATACCAATGCCAAAGCGATCCCAACCCAATGCCAATGCACTGCCAATGGGGGAAATCCTTTGTGGTAGATTTCAATCGGCCCCAAGACTGACCGAGAGGCGCCGGGACAGCGCCGGGACAGCCCAAGAGACCCTCAAGAGGCAAACAGAAGCTTCCAGAGGCCCTGGATGCTTGTACTCTTGGAAGCGTCGTCGTAGAAACGACGATTGGCACGATGGAACATCGAGGATGAGAAAGGTGGATGGACGGGGAAAGAGGAGGATCCAGCAGCACGGAACACAAGCAACGGCCTGCAGCAGCTGCAGCAGCAGCACGCGTTGACATCACCAGTGCCAAGCAGCATCCTGCAGCAAGCAGCAGCAGGCAGGCGGCAACATCCACCACCAGGCAACAGCAAGTACATGCACCAGTCCGTAGCAAGCCGTTGCCGCAGGCGGCAGCAGAAGAAAGACCAATTCAACGGCCGCAAGTGGCAACACGCAGCACGCAGCAACAGCAAGCGGTTTTAAAAGGCACGTGGCAGGTGCAAGCACGCTTGCCCAGACACTGCTCTCCACTTCGAACAGTTGTCGTGGATGTAGTCCACGGCTCAGCCCTAGTCAGCTACAATGCTGGGATCAGCGCGTGCGAGAAGGGGGAGCAGTGGCTGCGGGCGCTGGCGCTGTTGAGCGAGATGTGGGAGGTGAGGTTGGAGCCCGACGTTACCAGCTACAGCGCTGGGATCAGCGCGTGCGAGAAGGGCGAGCAGTGGCAGCCGGCGCTGGCGCTGCTCAGCGAGATGTGGGAGGCGAAGCTGAAGCCCAGCGTCATCTGCACTACAATTCTGGTCGTTGCGCGTGTGGAGGGGGCGAAAAGCTGGCGAGCTGCCCCCGAGCACCCGAGGCGCCCCGGCGCTCTCCGACGGCTCCAGAGAGCCTCCGGGTGGCCCCACCACGGCTTCTGACAGCCTCGAGAGCTCTGAGACGCTCCAGAGCGCGCGAGGACGGCCCAAGAGAACCCGAACGGAGCCCCATGACAGCTTAAGACGGCCCGACGACGGGCCAGGTGCCTCCGAAAACGGTCGAGCTGGACCCCGATGACGGTCCCCCAAGGCCAAGGCCATATCCAAGGCCATACATTTTCGTTGGACTTTGAGGTTTTCCATGTTCTCGCCATTTCGGGCCAAGAGCGGCCCCAGACTGCTCCAGGGCCATCCCATATCGCCCCAGGACGGTCCAGGAGGCCCCGCCAGGTGCCCCAAGACGGCCCCAGAGGGTCCGAAGGCTGCCCAAGAGAAGCTCAAGACAGCCTCATGGAGCCCCCGGTGGCCCTCAGAACAGCCCCAGGAGGGCCCCAGGATCTGCCCAGCAGGACCCAACGCGGGCTCCAGGACGGCCCGAGGTCGCCGACATCGCCCCAGGACAGCCCGAGAGGCCCCCGCGACGGCTCAGGAGATCACCCAAGTGGCCCAAGAAGGCCTTCAAGAGCTGCCGAAGAGGGCTCAAAGCGGGCTCCCAAACGGCCCGAACCATCCAACATAGCCCCCAGAGTTCCCGAGACTCCCAACATTAGCCGCCCCCCAGATGGCCCCAGGACGTCCCAATAAGCCCCCACGACGGCCCAGGTGCGCTCCAAAGTGGCTCCAGAGACGCCCCAGAGGGTCCACTCGACGGGCCTCCCTCCGCTCCCACTAGGCCAAGAGCCTCTCCAGGACCACTCCTTCCCAGGACCACTCCGATGCCCCAGAGTCTCCCAAGAGACTCCGACACTTTCCAAGGAGCTTGAACCAGAGCGCCATCAGCCACACAGCACCCCTTCGCCGTCTCTGGAACCCCTAAAAGCCCCAAAGAAAGCCGCGGACCCAAAACGAAACCCCAGACCACTTCGAGGCGCCCCAGACCCTCCCAAGATATTCAAATCATTCTGGCGGAGCTCCCAAGAGAGCCTCTCTCCCTTGTGTCTCCCCAGCAGCCTTCAACAAAGCCTCTTACCCATAACAACGCCCAACGAGCCTCCTCTCCCCGTTCAGCTCTCTTCTCTCACTCATCCTCCCTCCTCCTCCTGATCCTTCTTTTTGGCTCACCTTCTCCCAAGCTCCAGCCACTCTTGGCTTCGCACACAGCCGATTCTGGGTGGCCCCTGCAGCAGCACCCGCATCCTTTGCTGTCTCCGAAGGTATCCAAAGAATTCGAAGAGGAGGACAAGAGGAGGAGGAGGAAGATTTTGAAGATCGTCCTCGCTCCAGAGTCACTCTCTTCCTCGAACTCCTGCTTGCTCTCATGCGTCTCACTCCCTCCTCCTCTGCCCCCCGCACACCCCAGCACGTCTCCCCCCCCACAGCGATTAGGAGTGACAAGGGGTACCTTCTTCTCTCTTCTCTACCCTGGCTTCCTCGTTTGCGAGCCTGGCTTCTCCCTTTCTCTGGACTGCTCTGTTCCTCCCACCACCCCTCCGATTTAGGGGTGACAAGGAGGACCTTCTCATATCTTCTCTGCCTCGGCTTCCTCATTTGGGAGCCTGCACCACCCCCATCTCCAGTACCGCTCTCCTCCTCCTCCTCCTCCTCCTCCTCCTCCTCCTCCTTCTGCAAAAGGCTGCACCGAGACCGGACCGCGGGAAGCCTTTGATGCCGCAAGAAGCCCTGCAGGGGCCGCTCCGAGGTATCCCAGACCCTCCCAAGACACTCGAAGACGGCCACCGGCCCTGGATCTCTCGGAGCCTGCAGCAGGCCCTGGAGCAAACCCGCAGGCGTCGGCGACACGTGCGCGTCCGGGACCGACACCTCGACCTGCCGGCCGTGGATGTCTGGCTCGCACCAGTCCCTCCTGCATGGCCGGCAGGGGCGCGTGCCGGAAGGAGGACAGGGCAGCTGTCGGCAGAGCCCTGCTGCGGGGCCCCGCGAGATCCCGGGCGGCCCCGAGGCGCCGGAGGGCCTCCCCACGGCTGCTCGAGGGCCACGGAGGGCCCCGAGACGGTCCAAGAGGGCCTGCGAGGCGGTCCACCGAGCGCTCGAAGACGCTACAGAGAGCCTCCAGGCGGCTCGCACAGGCAAAAATCGGTCCAAGAGCTGAGGGAGATGGGCACTTTCGCAACTCCCGGGCTTTTCCTTCTCAAAGCGTCCACGACGATCAGGCCTCCAAGATCGGCCCAAGACGTCTCAGGATGCCTTCATGAGGCTCCCAAGACGGCCCCCGACGGCCCCAGGACCGCTCCTCTGGCGCCCACTACAGCCCAAGAAGCAGTCAAGACAGCCCCAAGAGCGGCCACAGATGGCCCAGGACGGTCCCCAGTCCACGAAGACGGCCCCACAAGCAACAAAACCAACATTTTCGCAAACCCCGTGCTTTTCGTTTTCAAAGCGTCCAAGACGACAATAGGGACCCCCAAGATCGGCCCAAGACGTCTCCGAAGGCCCTTATGAGGCTCCCAAGCTCCTCTGTCGCCCGTTACAGCCCAAACAGCAGTCAAGACAGCCCCAAGGGCGGCCATAGATGACCCAACAGGGTTCTAAACGGTCCCCAGATGGCCCCACAGGCGCCCAAGTCGGCCCCAGACGGCCCCAAGAGGCACCCACCAGGGCCCCAAGACGCTCCAGGTGTTCTCTCCGAAGATGTCTGAGAGAGGCCGCACAAGCAAAAGTCGTCCCCAAGCCTACGGGAGACGTGCATTTTCGCAATTTCTGCGTTTTTCGTTTTCCAAGCGTCCACGACAACAATACAGGCCCCCAACATCGCCAAAACGCGCCTCAGGAGGCCTCCATGAGGCTCCCCAGACAGCCCAAAAAGTAATCAAGACAGCCCCAAGAGCGGCCAAAGATGGTCCACGAGGGCCTCCAAACGTTCCCAAGACGGCCCCACAGGTGCCCAAAACAGCCCCAGACGACCCCACGAGGCGCCCAAGACGGCCCAAGCGGGCCCCAAGAGGCACTCAAGCAAGAAAGCCCAAGAGGGCCCCAAGAGGCCCCCAGGAGGCCGAAGTGAAGCCCCGAGAGGCCCCCAAACAGTTCTCAAGGAGAACGCAGCGCCCGCCATCAGGCTTGGAAAAGGCAACCATAACAAAGTGGCCACAGCCCTCGGAGGGCCTCCCCACGGAGTCTCGACGGTCCCCGACGGCCCCAAGACGGCTCAGCGAGAGAGAGAGAGAGAGAGAGAGAGAGAGAGCGCCTCGACGGCCCGAGCGGACTCCCAGCGAGCCCCAGGGCGGCCCAAGAGTGCCCGACGACAGGCGAGAAGCCTCCCAAGACGGCCCATCAGACTCCCCTTCAAGGCCCGAGACGGCCCAAACATGGATTTTCCGTTGCTTTTTGAAGGGCTCCCAGGCTCTTGCCATTTACGCCCCACAACGGCCCAACACAGCTCCAGGACCCTGCGAGGTCGTTTCAGCACGGCCCACGAGGCCTCCACGAGAGCTTCACGACGTTCCAAGAATACCCCGAGATGGTCCCACGACGGCCCCGCGACGGCCCCGCGTCGGCCCAGGAGGCGCCCCAAGACGGCCCAAGAGGCACCCGAGACGGCCCCAGGAGCGGCCCAAGACTGCCCACGACGGCCCAAGAGGCGCCCACGCCGGCCTCCGAAGGCCCCAACACGGCCCAGAGACCCAAGGGAGGAGGAGGAGGAGGAGGAGGAGGAGGAGGAGGAGGAGGAGGAGGAGGAGGAGGAGGAGGAGGAGGAGGAGGAGGAGGAGGAGGAGGAGGAGGAGGAGGAGGAGGAGGAGGAGGAGGAGGAGGAGGAGGAGGGGGCCCCGACGCACGAACAGACTTCCCCGTAGCCCCCAGACGCCCACAAGACGCCGCTGGACCCTTTCCCGCGGACCGTTTTCTCCTCCCGAGCTGCTGTGCTCACGGTGTCCTGGGTCTTTGCGAGGGCCCCCAAGGGGCTGAACATTACCAAACATGTTCTCAGGCCTCCCAGATGAGGTCAGGGTAGATGGGGTCGGAGGATTGCGCCGCATCGCCGCTGCATCGTCGATGCGGCCGGATTCGGAGCCCCAGTTTCTCACGCAGACGTCGGCGAAGCACCGTGGACGCCGCCGCTGCATCGCCGCTATAGCGCGCTCATCCAGGCCCATCCACTCGGACCCCATGTGGGCGGCCTCTCATGTTCCGCCCAGACGCTTTCACGACGCGAGGGGGCGTCTCCCGCCCGCCCGCCATTACGGGCGCGTGGCGCCAAGTCGGCGCACGCCTCGCCGCGGGGTGCTGCCCGCCGCTGTGCGTGGGCCCGCCCGCGCCCGACAACGTGTCGGAGCTCGACGTCATCATGAGTGCTCTACGGCCCTACATACGCCCCCCCCCCTTGCTACCACATGATGACGTGGACGGAGTCCACGGGTCAGCCCTAGTCAGCTACAGCGCTGGGATCAGTGCGTGCGGGAAGGGCGAGCAGTGGCAGCGGGCGATAGCGCTGCTCAGCGAGATGTGGGAGGCGAAGCTGACGCCCGACGTCATCAAGACTATAATGCCGGGGGCCGTGCGTCCCATAATGCCGCAGGATCAATGAAGTCAAAACCGCCCCGGGCTGGCCCCAGGTCGCCCAGGGACGCCCAGGGAGGCGCCAAGACAGGGCCCCAAGAGGCCCAAGCCGCCCCGAGAGGTCTCCAAGGTGCTCCATGAGACCTCCCCAGAAGCTTCCCCAAAGGGCCCCGAGCAAGAACAGCTATAAGTTTTCCATGTTTTTTGCAGGGCTTTTGCCGTTCTCGCCTTGTCGGCTGGAACGACCGCCTAAGACGTCCCCAAGACGGCTCCAAGACGGCCGAAGAGACCCCCAAGAGAGCCCCAAGACGGGCCCAAGAGCCCCCAAGTCGGCTCAGCAGGCCCCCAGGTGGGCCCCAGACGCTCGAGATTGGCCCAAGCCAGCCCGAGAGGCCTCCAAGGTGCTCCATGAGACGTCCCCAGAATCTTCCCCAGAGGGCCCCGAGCAGGAACAAACATAGGTTCTCATTGCTTTTTGCAGGGTTTATGCCGTCCTCGCCTTGTCGGCCTCCAGACGATCCACCAACGCCCAAGAGGTTCCCAAGACGGCTCCAAGACGGCCGAAGAGGCTTCAGAGAGAACCCGAAGACAGGCCCAGAGGGCCCCCCAGTCCGCTCAACAGGCCCCCAGATGGGCCCAGACGCTCAAGATTGGTCCAAGATTGGCCCAAGCTGGCCCGAGAGGTCTGAGGAAGAAAAACCATGGATTTTCATTTTTTTTTTGCATGGTATTGGCCGTCCTCGCCTGGTCGGCTTCCACACGATCCACGACCGCCAAAGAGGTTCCCAAGACGCCTCCAAGACGGCCGAAGAGGCCCCCCAGAAAGCGCCAAGACGAGCCCAGAGGGCCCCATGACGGCCCCACAGGCGGCCAGGACGGCCCCGGAGGCGGCCAGGAGAGCGCAGCCTGCCGCCAAGACGGTTTCAAGAGAGGCCCAACAGAGCCAGGAGGTCCCAAGAAGCCTCCAGGACGCTCCAAAAAGCTCCCGACGGGTTCCGGCAGACCCCCAAGGGGCGCCCGCTGAGCTCCCAACAGGTCCCCGAACTGCTCCCAGGAGTCACTACGAGCCCTCCGACAGAGGTGCTCATCGGAGGCGAAAGGCAACTCTCAGACCCGAAGGAACCGTCTTGGACGACCCTGCGAGAGCATTGGATGTCTGTTTCCTCCGCAGCTTCGCCGTCGCCTCGATGGCCGATCTTGAGGCCACTGTGAGGCCGTCCACGGCCCCCCTCGCTTACCCCGGGCGTGCCGGAGGCCTTCTGCCACTAATAAGGGGCCTTCCCGCCGTGGCAGAACGGCGGGCCCGCGCCCTTGGCGGCGTCCTCGGTGCCTCTGGGTCGCTCTTTTGGGGCTCTCCCGAAGCTCTCCTTGCCCGGTATGCTGTGCTACTCTGTCGGGCGACGAAATCTATGCATATCCACTGCTCCCTGACCATGCCCATCTTGAACCCAGGAGCTGTGTATGCGCCCTCCTGGCCAAGCCAGGAGGGCATGGCGTATACACCGCTGCGGGGTTGAGGATGGGCCTGGCCAGGGAGCAGTGGATATGTATAGATTTCGTCGCCCTAACTCTGTTCCCCCAGGGGCCTTGGTAAACTCTTCGAGCCCACCAGACCGGACCCCTGGGACAGCAGCCAACTGATATGACCCAGGGACCTCCCCGCACTCTTCGGACGAGCACCTGGGGGGCCCAGGAGATTCGGACAAGTCTCCCCCATTCCTTGCCCTGTCCCGTTCTGTTCGCTCGGGGGCCTCCACAGACCCTCTGGGGGAACGGAATGGGACAGGGCGAACACACCCTCCCGTTGGCGGCGTGTGAAAAGGGCTACTGCACCGAGTGACTTGTGGCAGCTTCGAGCCGCTGAAGAGTGCGTCCCGACGGCCCCACGACGGCTCTGAGACGCCCAAGAGGCCGCCCCGACGGCCCAAAGACGGCTCCGAACAGTTCAAGAGGGCGCCACGACGACCCCAAGACGGCTCCGAGCCGCTCCAGAGGCCACCCCGACTGCCTCAGGGGCGCTCCGAGCCGCTCAAGAAGCCGCTCCGACGGCCCCAAGGGCCCCCAGGACAGGCCAGGAGCTTCCGAAGACGGCCCTCGAGGATTCCACAGGACAGCCCCGAGACGTGCAAATCGTCCCAGTCCCGCTGGGAAACTTCTATTTGTTGCATTCTCGTGCTCTTCTTCTCCGATGCGTCCACGACGGCCACATGGCCCCCCACGATCGGCCCAAGACGCCCCAAAGAAGACAGCCCCACGAGCCGCCCAACACGGTCCAAGACTGCCCCCAGACCGCCCAAGAGGCGCCCAAGACGGCCCAAGACGGTTCCAAGACGGCCCAGACAGCACCGACGAGAGCCTCCAGAGGCCCCCTCGAAGCCGAGGGGCTGACAGCCATGGGTATAGCTTTTCGGCAGTATTCCCGCCGCTCCCCCGAGAATGCTCTCGGCCAGGTGTCGTGGACGGAGTCCACGGGTCAGCCCTAGTCTATATTTTAATGCCGGGGGCCCAGCGTGCCAGAAGGCCGCAAGATCAATGGTGGCAAAATCGCCCCAGCCTGGCCCCAGGCCGGCCCGGGCCGCCCAGAGAGGCTCGAAGCTACGCCAAGAGAGCCCCAAGCCGGCCCGACAGGTCTCGAAGGTGCTCCGTGAGACCTCCTGGGAAGTTCCCCAACGGGCCCCGAGCAGGAAGCAACATTGACTTTCCTTGCTTCTTGCAGGGTTTTTGCCGTGCTCGCCCATTCGGCTTCCGCACGATCCGCGACGGCCCAAGACGTTCCCAAGACGCCTCCAAGATGGCCGAAGAGGCCCCCAAGAGAGCCCCAAGACGGGCCCACATGTCCTCCAAGTCAGCTCACCAGGCCCCCAGAGGCTGGCCCCGGGCCGCCCCGGGCCGCCCAGAGAGGCTCGAAGACACGCCAAGCGAGCCCCAAGAAGCCCAAGCTGGCCCGACAGGTCTCCAAGGTGCTCTGTGAGACCTCCTGGGAAGCTTCCCCAGAGGGCCCCGAGCAGGAAAAAACATTGTTTTCCTTTGCTTTTTGCAGGGTTTTTGCCGTGCTCGCCTTTTCGGCTCCCACACGATCCACGACGGGCCAAGACGTTCCCAAGACGCCTCCAAGATGGCCGAAGAGGCCCCGAAGAGAGCCCCAAGACGGGCCCACAGGGCCTCCAAGTCAGCTCAACAGGCCCCCAGAGGCTGGCCCCGGGCCGCCCGGGGCCGCCCAGAGAGGCTCGAAGACACGCCAAGAGAGCCCAAAGAAGCCCAAGCCGGCCCGACAGGTCTCCAAGGTGCTCCGTGAGACCTCCCGGGAAGCTTCCCCAGAGGGCCCAAAACATGGTTCTTCTTTGCTTTTTCCAGGGTTTTTGCCCTGCTCGCCTCTTCGGCTCCCACACGATCCACACCCCAAGACCCAAGGCGCCTCCAAGACGGCCGAAGAGGCACACAAGAGAGCCCCAAGACGGGCCCAGAGGGCCTCCAAGTCGGCTCAACAGGCCCCTAGGTGGGCCCCAGACGCTCAAGATTGGCCCAAGATTGGCCCAAGCCGGCCCGAGAGGTCTCGCAGGTGCTCCGAGAACTCTCCCGGGAAGCTTCCCCAGAGGGCCCCGAGTAGGACAAAACATTGATTTACGTTCCTTCTGGCAGGGTTTTGGCGGTGCTCGCCTTCTCCGCTTCCAGGCGATCCGCGACGGCCCAAGACGTTTCCATCACGGCTCCCAGACGGCCGACGAAGGACCCAAAGAGAGCCCCGAGACAGGCCCAGAGGTCCCCAAGTCGGCTCAAGAGGCCCCCAGATGTGCCACAGACGCTCGAGATTGGTCCAACATTGGCCCAAACCAGCCCGACAGATCTTCAAGGTTCTCCATGAGACCTCCCCAGAAGCCTCCCCACAGGGCTCCGAGCAAGACAAATCCTAGATTCGTATTGCTTCTTGCACGGTTTTTGCCGTGCTTGCCTGGTCGGCTTCCACACGATCCACCGCTGCCCAAGGCGTTCCCAAGACGGCTTCAAGACGGCCGACGACGCCCCTGAGAGAGCCCAAAGACGACCCCACAGGGCCCCACAGGAGGAGCAGGGTGAGCAGGTATATTGGGGAGGGCGAGGGGGGAAGAGGAGGGGAGGAGGAGCAAGGACGCAAGCGAATATCGCGCGGACGATGACAGAGCGGGAATGAAGACGACGACGACCTGGCTAGGACGGCGACGATGAGGGCAGCAGCGGAGGCGGCAGCGCTGGGGGGAGAGCAAGACACCAGGCTCAGAGCATCGACGAGGGCCCAAGAGGGCCCCCAGAGGTCCCCTCGCAGCCGAGGGGCTGACCGCCATGTCGATAGCCTTTCGGCAGAATTCCCGCCGCTGCCCCGAGAATATTTTCGGCCAGATGTCGTGGACGGAGTCCACGGGTCAGCCCTAGTCAGCTACAACGCAGGGATCAGCGCGTGCGAGAAGGGCGAGCAGTGGCGGCTGGCACTGTCGCTGCTCAGCGAGATGGTGGAGGCGAAGCTGGCGCCCAGCGTCATCAGCTACAGCGCTGGGATGAGCGCGTGCGAGAAAGGCGCGCAGTGGCAGCGGGCGCTGGCACTTCTCAGCGAGATGCGGGAGGCGAAGCTGAGTCCCAACGTCATCTGTACTACAATCCTGGAAGGGGACAGAAGGTAGCGAGATGCCCCCGAGCGCCCTGAGCGCCCCGCCGCTCTCGGACGGCTCCGTAGAGCCCCCAGGTGGCTCCAAGAGGGCCTAAGGCAGCCCCACTACCGCTCCGAGACGCTCGGGATGGCGGGAGGACGTCCCAAGAGAACCCGAACAGAGTCCCATGACAGCCCGAGACGGTCCGACGACAGGCCAGATGCTTACGAAGACAGCCCAACCGGACCTCGATGACGGTCTCCCGAGACTAAGAATTATTGATCTTGTTTGCAGGGTTTTTGAATGTTTTCCGTGTTCTCGCCATCTCAGCCCTAGAATGCACCATACGAGGCCTACAACAGCGCCAGTCGGCTCCGGGGCCATCTCAGATCGCCCCAGGACGCTCCAGGAGGCCTCGCCAAGTGCCCCAAGACGGTCCCAGAGGGCCCGAAGGTTGCCCAAGAGAACCCAAGACAGCCTTATACAGCTCCTGGTTACGGCCCGAGACCGCTAACATGGCCCTGGGCCGAAGAGGCCCCCGGGACGGTCCAAGAGGGCCCAGGAGACCCCGACGACGGCCCCACGAGGCGAAAAAACAAGCTAAAACCATGCGTTATCCAAGGTTTTCCACGTTCTCCCCATGACGGGCTCACCACGGCCCTACACGGCTCCAGGTCCTTTTCAGATCGCTCCGAGATGGCCCAAGAGGGCCTCACGAGCCCACCAAGACGGTCAACGAGGGCCCCAAGATGGGCCAGAGCAGGCCCCAGCGAGCCTCACAGAGCTTCGCGCTGCCCTCTGAGACGACCCAGGAGCTGCCCAGGAGGGCCCGAACAAGACTCCCAGAAGGCCCCAGACCCCTTATCATGGCCCGAAGATGGTCCAAGGGGCCCCGGGTACGGCCCGAGACGGCCCACGAGGGCTCCGAAGACGCATGCAGGAGACCAGAAATCAATCAAAAACCGTCAGTTTTCCAATGTTTCCAATGTTTCCCAATGACTGACCCAGAAGGGCCCCACGCAGCTTCGGGCATTCTCGCGATCGCCCCACGATGGCCCAAAATGCCTCAAGGAGCGCACCAAGAGGGCCCAAGAGGGCTCCAAGCTGGCCCAAGACAGGCCCCCGAAGGCCTACTGGAGTTTGAGGTGGCCCCCCCTGACGGCGCATTGGCAGGAACCTGTTTGCCTGCACTCACGAGGCGTCCCCCTGCCCTTCCTCCTCCTACTCCTCCTCCTCCTCTTCCTCCTCCTCCTCCTCTTCCTCCTCCTCCTCCTCCTCCTCCTCCGCTCGGACGCACCAGGAGCAGCTCAGGCGGGCCTACACTGGGCTCCCAGACGGCCTCTGTACGGCCCTCCAGGGGGCCCCCGACGGATGCTACAACCGGGGGGTCCGTTGTAGCATCCGTCGGGGGCTCTCTCCATCCTCTCACGGGAGCTTTCTGAGGCCTCCTTCGGCCGTCCTGGATCTCCGTGGGGACGTCCGCGAGCACGGACGGCCCTCTTCGGAGAGGCCCACGAGCTCCCTTCGGGCCCCAACACCACGAGATCCCTCCCCGGACCACTCCGAGATGGCGCAGACCTCCCCAGGATGTTCGAAGACAGCCTCCAGCCCCAGCTCCCCGAGTTACCGGGGCTGTCCCCGAGAAGAGTCCCTGGGGGACAGCCCGAGAACGGCCCCAGAGGCGCCCCCAAACCGCAAGAGGCATTAAAGACGCCCCAGACAGGCTCGCAGGAGGGCCCAACATGCCCCAGACACGGCCCCAGAGGCGCCCGGGTTGTTCAACTTCGACGAGCTGTTCACCCACAGTGTGCGAGTCCCGCTGGCAACAGCTAGCACATGCGCCAGTCCGTAACAAGCCGTTGCCGCAGGTGGCAGCAGAAGAACGACCAAACGAAAGGCCGCAAGCGGCAACAGGCAGCGCACAGCAGCAGCACGCGGCTGTGAAAGGCACCGGGCAGGTGCAAGCACGCTTTCCCAGACCTCGCTCGCCACCTCGAGCAGATGTCGGGGACGTGGTCCACGGGTCAGCCCGAGTTTTTCAGCTACAATGCTGGGATCAGCGCGTGCGAGAAGGGTGGGCAGTGGCTGCGGGCGCTGGCTCTGTTGAAAGAGATGTGGGAGGCCAAGGTGGAGCCCGACGTCGTCAACACTACAGTCAACCCGCATAGTTAGGATGCGCAACCTTCCCAAGGGTACCCTTTCATCTTTCCCTTTTCGGTCCAGCCTTGGCCGCCTTCGTCGGCCGCGCCCCGCTCGAAAAGCTTCGAGATGGCCTTCCAAGGCCCTTGCATCCTTATCGCGCAGCCTTATGACACGGGGCGACTGTACCGCGCGCTCGGCCCAGTGCGTGCGAGGCTGCGCTGCAGTGGCAGCCGCGGTCGGGGCGGCTCCCCCCGCGCTCCGTGGCGCTCCCGAGGGGGCGGCCCCGGCTGGCCCCAGGAGCGCCGCAGAGCGCCCGGAGAAGGCACCAGAGACCCCGAAGCAAGCCTTGAGTTGGGCGTGTCCCTCGACAGGAGGAAAATTCAAAAACAGGGCAAAATAGTCAGGGGACGATTTTTCCAATAGTTTTTGAATATTGAATCGCTTCGCTCATTCCGCCGGCCCTGGAGCGCTATTTTGGGCCTCTTGGGGCCGTCGTGGGGGCCTCTTGGGGGCTTTTTGGGAGCGTCTTGGGGCTCCTTGGCGGCGTCTTGGGCTCCCCTGGGGCCTCTTAGGGGCTCTTGGGGGCACCTTGGGGCGGGAGGGGGGGTAGTCGATTGCAGCCACCCCCTCGGAGGCCACGATCCTCGTGAGGGGTGGCGAAAAATAGCCTCCCCCCTGGGGATCGCCCGGGACCCGGCCGGGACCAGGCCAGGGATCGCCCGGGGGGGGGTACGTTTCGTCCGGGGGCCCCCAGGGGCCGCCCCGCGCGCGCGAACTAGAAATATTGTTAAGTAGTTACTGGAGATCTTAGCACGCCTCTGGCCCGTTGGGCCGGCGAATTTTGGGAGCATTTTTTGAATGTTTTTTCCAACCGTCCTGTGGTGTTGGGTCCTCGTTTTGAAGAGACGGTCCCCACGTTCCTCTCCTTCTCCTCTCCTCCTCCTCCCCTCCCTCCTCCTTCTTCCGTGCGTTTCGCCCGCCCAACACAGCGTTTCGTGGCCCCATGGGGAGCTCCACCGAAGCCCCCAGTGGGACCGCCTGCATGCGCCCCCCACGCCCAGTTTGGCATTTTCACCCACCCAGTACAGCGTTTCGCGGCACCATAGGGAGCCCCACCGAAGCCCCCACTGGGACGGCCCGCGTGCGTCGCCACGCCCAATTTGGCATTTTCACCAACCCATTACAGCGTTTCGTGACCCCATAGGGAGCTCCACGGAAGCCCCCAGTGGTACTGCCCACATGCGTCCCCCACATCCAATTTGGCATTTTCGCCCACCAATTACAGCGTTTCGTGGCCCAATAGGGAACCCCACCGAAGCCCCCAGTGGGACCGCCCGCGTGCGTTCCCCACACACCCAGCTTGGCATTGTCACCCACCCAGCACAGCGTTTCGTGTCCCCATAGGGAACTCCACCGAAGCCCCCAGTGGGACCGCCCGCATGCGTCCCCCCCCCCCCCACACACACACAATCCGGCATTTTCACCAACCCATTACAGCGTTTCGTGGCCCCATAGGGAGCTCCACCGAAGCCCCCAGTGGGACCGCCCGCATGCGTCCCCCACGCTCAATTTGGCATTTTCGCCCACCCAGTACAACGTTTCGTGGCCCAATAGGGAGCCCCACCGAAGCCCCCAATGGGACCGCCCGCATGCGTCCCCCACACCCAATTTGACATTTTCACCCACCCAGTACAGCGTTTCGTGGCCCCAGAGGGAGCTCCACCGAAGCCCCCAGTGGGACCGCCCGCATGCGTCCCCCACACCCAATGCATTTTCACCCACCCAGTACAGCGTTTTGTGGCCCCATAGGGGGCTCCACCGAAGCCCCTAGTGGGACCGCCCGCATGTCTCCTCCACGCCCAATCTGGCATTTTCACACACACGCACACACACCCAATTTGGCATGTCCACCCACCGTTTGCAACGCTTCGCGGCCCCATGGGGAGCTCCACTGAAGCCCCCAGTGGGACCGCCCGCATGCGTCCCACACGCCTAATCTGGTATTTTCACCCACCCAGTGCAGCGTTTCGTGGCCTCATAGGGAGCTTCAGCGACGGCCCCAGTGCTACCGCCCGCATGCGTTCCCCCCCCGCCTAGCACAGCGCTTCGTGACCCCATAGGGAGCTTCACCGAAGAAGATATTCACAATTGCGGTACCCACAACTTCATATGGTTGGGTCCTTCGCCAGGATAGTTTTTGAGTATCTTGTCAGAGTGAGGGGGCCGAACGGTCATTCACTGTCCCTGGGTGCGTGGCTGAAGTGGAATTCCGCGGTGCGGATTCTCGTTGTTGTTGTTGTTGTTGAACATTATTTCTTCTTAAGAATAATTATTGTTGGGACCCCTGGTGCGCGACCCCCCCGCCGCGCCTAGGCCGCAGCCACATTTTCATTATTTTCGTGAGGAAGTCTCAGGCAAAACGGGGTATACCAGATCCGGTTGTTTTGTTGACGCCCGCTTTCCCTTGCAAAAAACACTATAAAATGAAATCTCTTGTTCTAACATAACCAAACTTCAAGAATCCTTTGCAAGAAATGACACGAAGTGCACACTCGCGCGCGCAAGATGAAATCCTTCCACAACCTTAGTTTTCGTAGCGATTTTAACATAAAAACATGAAAAACCCAATGGTTTTTCAAAAAAAAAGTTTCAAAAATCATCTTCGCGCGCTCTTGCGGATTTCTGAGGAAACCCAATATTTTTTCAACATTTCTGTCAAACGGGCTCTTGCGAGCAACTTTTTCACGTGCTTCGAACTTCTGCAACAACGGTTGCGCGCCTGCCAGGGCCATCATCCCTGTCAAATAATACCATGCGGGACACATTCGTTTTTTCTTCGCGCGCGCACGCCGTCGTCGTCGGCCGCGGGGCCCTGAATAGTAGCCACGGTCGTCCGCATGCCACGAAGTGAAGTGTCCGAACGTCATAGGGCGGGAAGCTGGGTGTGGGTGGTGGCGAAGAGTCGTTTGGAAATTTGGTAGAGCTTGAACCGGCCCCCCCACAAAGTGGGGGTATTGCCCGCCTCCTATGAAAACCCTGGCACTGGTGAGAACGGAGTGTCCCCACGTGCTAGTAATTGTTGTTGTTGTTGTTGTTGTTGTTGTTGTTGTTGTTGTTGTTGTTGTTGTTGTTGTTGTTGTTGAACATTATTCCTTCTAAAGAATTATTATTGTTGGGACCCCTGGTGCGCGACCCCCCTGCGCCGCGCCTAGGCCGCAGCTACATTTTCATCATTTTTTCGCGAAAGCTTCAGAAAAGTGGATGAGCTCCGGATCCGGTTTTTTGTTGACGCTCGTTTTCCCTTGCAAAAAACAATAGAAAATGAAAATTTCTTGTTTTTACTTGATCAAATTGCAAGAATCCCTTGCAAAAAATAAGGTAAAGTGGACATTCGTGCGCGCAAGACGAAATCCTTCCAAAACCTTAGGTTTCGTAGCGATTTTAACATAAAAACATCAAAAACCCAATGGTTTTTCAGAAAAAATTGTCAAAATGTCCTTCCGCGCGCTCTTGCGGATTCCTAGGAAACCCACCAGATTTTAAACATTTCTGTTAAAAGGGCCTTTGCGAGGAACCTTTTCAGGTGCTTCGACCTTCTGCAACAACGGTTGCGAGCCTACGAGGGCCACCATCCCTTGCAAAAAATGACACGAAGTGCACATGCGCGCGGCCGCCGCGCGCGCGTGCCGAAATCCTGCCAAACATAATGTGATTTCAATAATTTCAAGATGCGATGTTCCGAAAACATATGCAAACGCAAGACTTTCTCATCCGAAAAATATCAAAATCCACCCGCGGGCTCTTCATGAATCTTTTAAACCCAAGATGGCCCCAAGAGGCGCTCAAGATGGCCCCAAGAGGCGCCCATGAGGCCGCAAGAGGCGCCCAAGATGGTCCCAAGAGGCCCCAAGAGGACTCCAAGAGGCCCCCAAGAGGTTCCAAAGAGGCTCCAAGTTGGCTCCAAGAGGCCCCCAAGATGGCCCCAGGAGGCGTCCAAGCGGCTCCAAGAGTCCTCCGGGAGGATCCAATAAGCCCCCAAGAGGCCCCAACATGCTTTCAAGAAGCCCCCCAAAGCCTCTCAAGAGGACCCCATGCGGCGCCAGGAGGCTTCCCCCCTTCCCCAAGAGGACCCCCAGCGGCCCCAGGAGGCTTCCCCCCTTCCTCTCACGCTCATATCCGTAGCCATCTCGGATCAAGGTATCGCCTGTGTTCTTGGATCATGGCTTTGACGGCGAAAGACCTTCACGAGCAGTATGGCGCAGAGCTGTCCCGGCCTCCCTTGGCCGACTGCGAGAGTGCGTATTATTTGCATCAGGCGCTCGCGGCAAAGGGTATCAATGCCAGTCACCAGGCGTGCAAGACTTGGTGGGCCAAGTATCGGGTTGTGACTGGCAAGGTCAGTATTTCTAGCGCCAAGGAGCTGGAGGAGCAGCACGGGTCTGCCATCCGCCACCTGGGCATCGAGTATAATACCGCTTACAAATTATGCCGGGCGCTCCGACAGTTGGATCCACCACTGTATGTGCCAGATAGGGTCGCAACGGCGTGGCTACTGCAGTATTCATCGAAAGACACGCTTGTCCAAGTGCAGAACGCTTGGCTCTCTGTCTTGCTCTCTCTCTCTCTCTCTCTCTGTCTCTCTGTACTATGTATGTCATACGCAACAAATGCACCATGCGGGGCACATGCGGGGCCCAAACAAGTGATCAACCTCTGCGGGTGTGTACTCCACGCCAGTGTAGTATCCACGATCGTCCGCGCGCCACGAAGTGAAGTGTCCTGACGTCATAGGGCGGGAAGCTGGGTGTGGGTGGTTCCCGAGAGTCGTGTGGATGTTTGGTAGAGCTTGCATTGCCCCCCCACGAAGTGGGGGTATTGGCTGGCGTCGCATGAAAACCCTGGCACTGGGGAGAACACTGAGCGTTCGGGTAAAATGATTGTTGTTGTTGTTGTTGTTGTTGTTGTTGTTGTTGTTGTTGTTGTTGTTGTTGAACATTATTATTA